ATTCGCCAAGGGAGTGGCGCCGAAATAATCTTGGAAGGGCCTACCGGCGTAACACTGGAAAAATCGCTGCACTTCGCTTTCAAAGCCTCAAACAATTAGGACGAGTATGAGGCATTATTGGCCGGCCTGCGGCTGGCACATGAAGTAGGGGTTGCGAGGCTTCTTTGTTGGACTGATTCCAAAATAGTTGCCAAACAGGTGAATAATCACTTCCAAGTCAAGGATGCCAATCTGTTAAAGTACTATCACTGTTTCCACAATATGTGCAACCAATTCGAAGAAGTTCAAGTCAAGTACACACCACGAGAAAACAATGGAAGAGCCGATCAACTCGCTCGGTTGGCCAGTAACGATCATAAACAAAGTCAGTTGCGAACCACTCTTCATTTGGAATTGCCACAACCCAGCGTGGAAACCACCGAGTGCCTAGCAGTTTCTGAATCGGAAGCTTCTAGAACTAACACACCTTGGATAGCAACATTACTCGAGTTCATTCTACACGGCAAGGAGCCACCCGAGGCCTTGGCCGCTAGGAAACTCCGCACTCAAGCAAGACGTTTCTCGGTCATCGGCACAGAGCTGTACAAGAGAGGTTTTTCAACCCCATTACTCAAATGTATCGGGCCTGAACAAGCCGACTATGTTTTGCGGGAAATCCACGAAGGAATTTGTGGGTCACACTCGGGTGGGAGAACCCTAGCCGCTAAAGTGCTCCAGGCCGGTTACTATTGGTCCACTCTCAAGGGTGATTGTGCTCAATTTGTCAAAAGATGTGTTCAATGTCAAAAGCATGGTAACCTGATTCACGCTTCGGCAGAACAACTTAGCCAAGCTTAGGAAAGATCAAGGAGCCGAAGATCTAGGGGAAACTTGGATCACTTGGATCTAACGATGTAGGAGGCACGACACTTCGACACTTCGAACACACCATTTTTTGAATGAAGACCCAACTAGCACACTACTCCTCGAGGTTGGGGGGCTTGTGTACCATATGTATAGGGAAAATATCACACCAAGTCATGTAAGGGTATAGGAGACCCAAGGATCGATCGACTCGATAGTCGAGTCGACCGATCCAACACAGCTATAAAGGTCCCATGCGATACCGAGTCTCAGTCCTAATGGAAACCAAAATTGCTAGAATGATTACAGTAAGACAAGCATGTAGGTAAAAGATGACGACATTTGTTCAAGCCAAAATGAATCTACCATAGAACAACTCGTCATTATTGGTGGTCGAATAAGCCAACGGCTGTAATCGGAATGCCGAACATGTCTAACATAGCCTAAACATATCAAACACTGAATAATCATAGATTAAGGTTTATTTATTCACGAATGACTATATTACCTAATTGATAATTAGGACAGATGATCCACCACATCAAAAACCCAATTTGGTTAGTATAAATAGTCACACAAAACGAGGTAAAATTACTATTTATTTGTTGTTACTATTGATATTCATGTTTGTCTTGACTTGAGCGTTCGAGTACCTTTTGCAGGTACCTCTCCCCTTACTTCTTGACCGGAGCTCTCATTTAGCTTCAAGATCCTATATTATCACGAAAAAATTACTAGTGTGTCCTCATATAAATACAATTAATATGTATTTTAAAAGAAAAAATTATCCAATAAAATTGAACTTATACAAAAGGGTTTATCATAAATGCATAACTTATGCCTCTTGATGATATATTCTAAATAGATCAATGAAGAAGGGTGTGTATTATTACTTGATACATGAGGGGTAAATAATGTTAGTTTTTATACATTTTAATCGTATATCAATACGTAAGTCAATTTTTTTAAATATTAATAAATTCATTAAAAATAATTATAAAATTCATTTTTTAAAATCTCTCTAAAATAAAATCATGTAAACACGCAAGTCTATATAATTGAGTGTTTCTCACTTTATGTTCCGATGCACCCAAGAAAAAGTATATGATAAAACTAGGGACAGTTTTTTGGCATGGTTTCCAAAAGTATACGTAAATATTGGAATCACGCTTCTTAATTTATGATCCCAATTCCCAACTTCATTTAACTTAGCCAGGGAAGAAAGTGAGGACAAGGAAAGTTTAGATCATATGAATTGTGTCATTAGCCTTTTCTTTTCGATGTACTTGCATTGAAAGTTTGTCCTCCTTTATTTTGTCTAGTCTGGAACTGTCAGTGTTAATTTATTTACTATATTGCTACGTTTCGAATTTGTATTGAACAAGGACAAATACGAGTAGATGAATATGGTAAGAGAGTCAGTCCCATTAAAGAATATTAAGCTAGGGGTGATTTTTTTTAATTACTAATAAAATAAACATTTAGTTTAGTAATATTTAATCTAATTTTTATATTTTACCCATATTTGCAAATAACAATGTAAGACTACAGTTCCTTCATTAAGTGGCTCAACACTATAATTACACAGTTCATTCATTAAGTGGCTCAACATTATGATTCTTTAATTAAAGATTAAAATTTAATCTTTATTTTAGAGATAGAATCATAATTAGATATATCACTTTATTTTTATATATAAGAGTCGACCGGTGAAAAGGAGTTACGACTCCTTTTTAAAAAAAATTAAATTAATAATAACAATGTAATATAAGGTAGGTTAAATTACTCTTTTAATGCATCATTTCATGTAATTGGTTTGATTTGGTCCCTTTATTATTGAGCTTATGATAAATAGAGATATTTTTTAATAATAAAATAAAATAAATAAATTTGTGAGTTAGACAGTGTAACAACTCAATAGGCCTCACACCGACACAACTAACACCACAATAATACATAAAGCTTCAAAAAACTTAAATCATCTATCTTAAGTTTTTCATTCAATAAAAGATTGTACATCATGCATTTATATATACATGTACTTGGGATCTTGATTATTAACCAAAATCAAAGGTGTTGAAACAGATCATGGTCACCAAAGTAGTAAAATAAAACCTCCTTATAAGGTTACAAATAGTCCTTGTAGATATATATACATATACATTTAATATAATAGTGTTGAAACATAAATCCTAGCACTGGTCAATTATAATTATATGTGACACCTTCTACTAAACATGTTATTAAATAATATAAAATGAGAGAAATAATAAAGGAGTTTGAAAATAAACTTCACTAAAAAGAAAATTGTTCACAAAACACCATTAGATAGAGGTATCACATAAGAAAACATAAAGTCTTTCATTGATCTAAATGTCTATACTAAGTTGTGTTGGTTTTCTAGGTTAACATTATATATAAAGAGTCAACTAAACTAACCATAGATCATCACTAACTCTATATTTATTTTTAAAAAAATTTATGATATTTTATTATTCTTAACGTCAACTTTTATAATACTAAATTAATATTTTTAAATATTTTAATATTTTATTATCGACTTAACTAACTTTATAATAAAATAATATTTGAATTTTATTTACTTAAAGATAGTTTAACTAACACTAATTTTAATTATTATACACATTTAGTTTTGAATTTTTAATTTATTGTCGACAAAATCGACACTAACCTTTTATAAAATATTTTAATTTTTTTTATTTTACCTTATTGTCAACAAAGTCAACACTAATACTTTTATAAAATATTACTAATATTTTTAATTGTGTAAGTCAAAGGTTGGTTAAAAAGCCTAATATAACTATTATAACCCATCCTAAATCTTATAAACTTTAATGGCTTAATCAGGATGGACCTACAGAAGTTAAAGACCAAGTAAATGTTCCTTTTTCCATTGAAAAATATAAAGATAAAGTTTTATGTGATGTGATTCCAATGGATGCAAGCCACATTTTACTTGGTATACCTCAGCAATTTGATAGGAAAGCCATCTATGATGGTGTTACAAACAAAATTTGCCTAGTCCATCTAGGCAAGAAACACACTTTGACTCCTTTTTCACCATCACAAGTGTTGGAGGATCAAATATTTATGAAGAAAAAATTAGATGAAGAAAAAAGAATTCAAAAAAGAAAAACAACCTCCTAGGTCTTGAAGAGCAGGAATAGATGGTTATAGTGTTAGAGGGTAGTATCTCTTCGAAGGAAGTTGTTCCTAGAAGTTAATTTTTCATTAAACATTTCATTAAATAATGTGTTCTAGTAGAAAAACCTCTTTAATCTACGCATTAAAAACTTTTAATTTAATGATTAGATCGTTAAAATTTGATGTTAAACATATATAAGTTATTGAGTGGAGCAAATCTATCTACATAGATCAAATCCGATACTTTGTTAAAATAAAAGTTTGTTATGTATAAATCAAATCTTTAAATTTAAAAAAAAATAAAATTATTTGATACTTCATTTTATTAATTCAAATTAAAAAAAAATCGTAAAAATATTTTATATGCTGACTTGAATTTATTTAACAAAATATTAAATAGTTTTTAATTTTTTATAAAATTTACAGACTTGATTTATGCATTAAAATTTTTTAATTCAATGATTGAATTATTAAAATTTAATGAAGAATATGAATTATTGAGTAGAGTAAATCTAAATAGTTAAATGAAGCTTTTGTTAATTTTTTCTCACATAAAACTTAAACAGTTAAACGTGGGTTTAAACTTTTTTTATTCTTGAAATTAATTCTATTTTTCAAATTTGCTCCTTGAAAATTTTTTGCTTGACTTTTAGTCCTTTTTAAACCTGTTTTTCAAGTCTCTATTGAGACCTTTTTTTTATACTGTTTTTATAATGTGTAAAACATCAAATGATTTAAATTCATTTAAAAGAGTAACCAAATGTTTGATACATTATTGAAAATCTCGTGTTTGTTTTATTTTTCGAAATAGAATAAGATCATGCTAGAAGCAACGAGAATGTTTCAAAAATATTGCACCAATAGAAGATGGTAGAACGTCAATCAAACTATAATAATAAATAAATAAATACACGAGAAACTAAAAGAAGGTTCAAGACTTCAAAGGACATTCACTTTTCACCCATAATAAAAAGGTACCACACCCGAAATTTCTCCCAACAACAATCCAATTTTTTTTTTTGATAAGCAAAAGATTTACAACACTCGCTAAGGTTTAGTCCATCACTGACATTTTCAAACACCTTAGTCTACAGAGATAAAAATACAATATTACATTGTACATATGACTATGTATGCTTATCTCTGGTCTCTATCTCGTGGGCTTGATATCACTCTTTTTCTTTTGATCGAAAAGCCAACCTCTTAAGGTTTGAGATAGTGATATATATATATGGTCTAGTGGAGATCTGCCCGTTGCAATTGTCCGTTGAAGAAAATATAGTCATTCACGACCAGTTTGATCTTCTCATTTAATGCTCAGATTCGTGCATTAAATGTTGCTTCCCATTTATAGACAATGCGTGAAGTTCTCTTGCTCAGTTAGTAGTTGTATCTGAATGTAGCAAAGTCCTAGGAAACTTCTATCTTTTTCTGACCCTCTAGCTGTGGAGCTTTTGTCCTTGCCTAAAAAAATGATGTACTTTTTCTAACATATGCATGATTTAGCGTTCAAGCATGCTCTTCTCCTTTTCTTCTTCTCTTCTAATAATTTGAATGACTTCGTGTGTTCTTTTGTGAGTGTAGACGATATTCAAAGCTTGATTTCTCAGGTGATTGCATGTCATTCTTCGTCTGCGTCTGGTAGTCGACATTTAGTTCAATACTTCGACCTTTGTCTGATCATTATCGTATTGATTTTTCTTTTCGTCTTGATCAACCTTGTATATGGTCAGACTTTCAATCTCTTCTTGGTCGTTGACCATCTTCTGTCGGAGTCTTTATGTGTTGCCCTAGATTATGCTTGGCATGGTCTTGTTCTTGATTTGACTTGTTGAATGCTTATGCTAGGCTTTTGTCTTGTATCATCTGATGCTTATGCTTGTTCATCATTTTACCTGTTCTTATGTTTTTCTGAAACACTAACTCACTTGTTAGAGAGAATAACATGTATTATATTTCTCTCACTCAAAATCTTTTTGGGAGTTTCTTCGTCTGACTTAACAATCTCCCCTTTTTTGATGATGACAAATACAATTAATCAAAGTTTTTTCAGAAAAAAAAACTTGAGGAATTGAAGTGTTTTATTTTAGTTATATTCCTTTGGATCATTGTTTTATTTATGAGACGTAACACTCCCCCTTACTCGATTATCCCTTGGAATTTTTTATCGTATATATCGTATATGAGATGTTAGTAGTATATTTGATTAATGTCTCTTTTATTTCTCCTCCTTTGTAATCATCAAAAAAATGGAGACAAGATAAGCAACAAGGTATCAAAGAAAAAAAATGTATTAAATGACAATGAGTGTGTACAATAAAAAGTGCAAAAGAAAATACACATTGTATTCTACTTCCTAACATGACTAATCTTGTACGAGCTATCCTAGCTTCCCTAACTATGATCATTAGGACAGAGGAGGATTTTTTGAAAGCTTGGAGGAAATCAGGCTAAACAAGCTTTCAAACTTGTCATCTAGGTCTATCCTGAATTTGTTGAATTCCTCAATCAAGACATATTGCGGTGCTGGATCAAGGGTAGATTGAAGTACCACTAGAGGTCCAGTCGCAAAGATTGGCTCAACAGAGATAGGCTCAGACGTGTGGGATTCAGATTGTGCAGCTTCGGAGGAAGCATCCCAGGGCATAGGCATACCTGGTTTCCATGATGGAATGTCCTTGCACCACTCATACTCAACCTTATGCCATGTGTCTGTGACAACCTTCCACTCATTTTTGTATGGATCGAGATTGAAAAGAGAGGAATGGATGAAGTATCTCTTGCTAAGAGCATCAAGATCAGGCCCTTGTCGTTTGTTAAGAAAGGCAACAAATGTGTCGCTGAAGTATATCACTTTACATGGACTCATCCAACGATATCCATGCATCGTTAGAGTCTTGCCTTTTTCTTCATCTGGGAGACCAAACGAACTAGCTTCCTGTTCGCACTTATGCATAAAGTTCTTATAGAAATTTTCAGCATCTTCTTCAGTATATATTAGTGCCCTGGCAAGATCTTGTTGCCATTTCAAGCTTACTCCTTTGTATTGGCGAATCTCAACTTTTGATGGTCTAGGCATCTGTCCCAGATGTAGGGCATGATCTTTCATCTTGTTTTGGTCAATCGGAGGAAGTCGAGGACAGATTCGGTCAAGATAGACATAAATTTGCGCTTCTGCTGAAATATATAGAGAGGGAGGTATGTACAATTGTAAGGGTATATCTGTACATTGGCATAGATGACCTATTGCTGCTCGGTCCGACGTTGAGAATGAACGGTAGTGATTCATATGTACAGGAACGAATGTTGTTGGTGGATTGAAGAACTCTACTTTTGGTAGAGGAGATGAAGACTTCTTTGGATAACCGGAGGATGACACTTTCTTTTTGGGTGATAAGGATGATGATTGTTGTTGATGTAGGGGTCGGATGAGTCGAGACGTTCCTTGTGGTGGAGTCCAGGTAGACTTGGACTTGATTACTCTTCCTGGATAGATTTTTCTCATGAATGTTGGTGGAGGTAGAGCAGTTATGGCACCAGGTGGTAGAGTTAGATATTCCTCAGACGAAGAGAAGGATTTGTCTGGGTAGTATGGTGTGCACTTGTATACCGCTTCCTCATATATGCACACAGGCTTAGGTAGATCATATTGGCCTAGTGGAATGAAATCCTCAATTGTTTGACCTTGTGGATCAGTGATAGCAAGTGCGGGAAAATGCTTTAACAGAAAATACATGGATGGAGAATGTTCGGGCAGCTCTTCTGTTGGTTGAGAGGAGGACGAAGAAGATGGAGGAGATACTTGTTTAAGTCCAAAAGCAGGTGGACGAACAAGAATAGAAAATGGAGCCGGAGGACGAGATTGCTCGAGATAGTAGTATTTTGGCCCATATGTAGGCTTGTTAGGCAGAATGGCTTCATACTTGTGAGTCTTCCCTTGCGAGTCACGCAAAGGGTTTCTTGAAGCATCCAGTATAGTTGACCCTTCTTCGAGCCACGAGTACATAGAAAAATTTAAATGCACCCTAAATGAACCATAAATGCAGCCCAAATGAAATGGCTCTCATCTCTCCTAAAAGACCAAAGTGCCCTTAGGTCTAGAAAAAGAAAGAAATGGACTTTGACCTTCTAAATTAAGGTTTAAGTCCTAAAATAAATCTTAAGACTAATTTTTCCCCATAATACAAAGGCTAAATATAAATACAAAATAAAATCCTAATATTTAATGTACCTCAAAATACAAGGGCAAAATAGGAAAAGAAAACAACAAACTAAGGAGAGGGCTTAAAATCCACACATATGATGATCATGACTTTTGGTGTGGTGTTTTCTTCATCTTCCTCTACTCTCCTAGCCATGGACCTTGTGATAGGCCCTATATGATGCTTCAAGGATGGTCCTCCATCAT